CTTATTCAACTTCCTAAAACAGGGCTACGTAACATGCAGCCTGTTTGTTCACGGCCCATGGTGCGGTTTGGGTTTACATGGGGCACAACACATGTCCTGCGGATATGATCCTTTGACCATGGCCTCCACTGGGAACATGCTCTACCACGGCGAGGCATCTCCCAAGCAGAGTGAGCACTGAAAGATGCAAGCAGACAAGCTGGCTGGAACAGATGGGTGGATACAGGATTACGACATTTCCAGCCCCCAAGGAGGAGGTGCCGAGAGCACTGGAGCATCGTGGGAAGTGCTTTGTATTCATGCCCATCAGTATGAAATAAGCTATTTGCATATATATGCAACCACACTTAAGTTGCGGCCCTCGGCATGTGCTGTGAGTATCATTGTGGTGCCTGAGGCTTCTAAAGTTGAGTAGCCCCGTCTTAAACAATGTAAATATTCAGGGCTTGAGGAGTGTTAAAGGCCTACATTCAATAGAATCACAGTCATTTAATGAACAGGTGGGCAGCTGTATATACATAAGATAACTAACCGCTGATGTAATAACTGGGCCTGCATATTTACCCTTATTGTGAACTTACCTATGAAAAGTGAGTGAAAGTTTTATAAAGTGTCCCAATAACCCTATGACAACAAATGTTGCTGGGGAAAGGTACTCAAGAGAGACAGAAAGATTGAATTAGTTCACCCAAAAAGCTCTACTGATATAACTCAGGACCAGGTTCAGATCATGCTTGATACACAAGAAAAGCGTGGAGCTAAAAATCGGTGAACCACAATCAGTGAGCTGGACAAAATGAGGCAAAATGATGAGAAGATGGGCTATTCCATCCATCACATCCTTCTAAGGTCCTCAAAAAACACTTAGGCTACGTCTACACTGGCATGATCTTGCGCAAGAACTCGTTTGCAGAAGAGTTCTTGTGCAAAAACTCTTCCAGAAGAGAGTGTCTACACTGGCACGTGCATTTGCGCAAGAGATGTGCTTTTGCGCAAGAGCATCCATGCCAGTGTAGACGCTCTCTTGCGCAAGAAAGCTCTGATGGCCATTTTAACCATACAGCTTTCTTGCGCAAGAAATTCATGTTGCGTGTCTACACTGGCCTCTTGCGCAAGAACAGATGCGCAAGAGGGCTTATTCCTGAGTGGGAGCATCAGAGTTCTTGCACAAGAAGCACTGATTTCATACATTAGAACGTCAGTGTACTTGCGCAAGAACTCGCGGCCAATGTAGACAGGCAGCAAGTTGTTGCGCAAAAGCGACTGCTTTTGCACAAAATCGCGCCAATGTAGACACAGCCTTAGAAGAAAATGTCAACAAACTGTGATTCTGGCTGATTTAAAAACAAGAGAAGAAAAGCAAGTGAGCATCACCACCATAGTTGCCATCCCACCATCTACTGGGACCTCAGATCTTCTTTGTCCTAATTCTGAAATATCTGTTGATCAAGCTGAACCAGAGAGAACAAGCCAGACAACATCGCCACCTCCACCAGCTTTGGCTAAAATCCCAAATACCACTTTGGATGTGAAACTTTGTATTCCTTCTACCACCATATAGCCTTTTCTTTCCTTACTTTATTTCTTCTTGTTCCTGTCTTCCTTTTCCTTCTGCCTAATGAGCATCTGACTTAGCTAACCAATCATTTATATATTTTGAAGAGTTTGTTTGTGGATTTGTGCAAAATAAAGTCATACTTCACAATTATCTACAGATACCAAATTTTGCATATACAATCCTGTCACTGAAATTAGCTGAAGGCACTACTTTTTACACCAGAATATGCTGGGTGAAAGGTTTAAATAATTGGTTTTGGTTTTCATCAGAAAAAAGTCATAGCTATTATGATTAGAGTTCATAAAAAGATTTCCTAACAAAATTAAAACTGGGTCACCTATTCAACCGTCATTTTAGTTCAATGAAAATTTTGACTGTTACAAATCACAATTCAAATTAGTTAAGGAAAGAGTAATGGAAGCTTTATAAGTTTTTGATTCAAATGTACTATGTTTAGTAATTATTCAATAACATGAATAATGCTTGAAGTTGAAATCCTACACATTTGAAACTGTTCTTTTACTTCCCTTTTGCAAGTACATTAATAAACAATTCTATTACATGTATTTAACTTCTTTGAACTTTCCTATAAGTGTAATCCACGCAAAATGCCTTCCCGGTCAATGATGGGCCTCATCTGCTAGTACTATATATTTTGAAACATTACTCTGCCCCAAACAGCCCAATACTGATACAAGTTTGCAAGGTCGTGGAGTGAATAAGGTTCTGTGCTACCCCTGTGTTTTTCCAACAGTGAGGTTGCAAGAGAAAGTCAACACCAGAGACAGATGCTGCATTTTCTATCTTTGCTGTTCTTTTCTTTCACCTTTGTGTGTGTGTTTGTCTTATTTTGTCTTAAAGGAAAACAGGATTAGACAATAACAATAGCTCTAGCCCATTGGAACTAACTTCTATTTTCTTGCAAAGGACAGTTGCCTCAATCTTTGATATCTCCTAAAAGACTGATAAAAAAGTGAGGTTTTCCTTCTAAAAGCTTTTCAAGATAAGGAAAAAAAAGGGGAAAAGGATGCCGTTAAAATGAAAGTCTTTAATTTCAGATTCTTTAACTGTTTTCCTGTCTTTTCCCTATGTTTACTTATAGGATTTTTAATTGTGATGGCACTAATCAGGCTGAGGTCTCTGTACCAGCAGATCTCAATCAGGGGCATATGTACACTGGGAATATGCAGAGGTCCTCCAAAGGGTACATCAACTCAGCTAGATATTTGCCTAGTTTTACTACAGAGAACACAGAAAGCACTAACAAAGTATGTACAATCTACATTTTCATTCAGACAAAGTGGGAACCTAAGCAATTTTTGAGTAACAGTGTGCTGTGACACTTTAGTATTTTTATGTCTGATTTTGTAAGAAAGTAGTTTTTAAGTGAGGTAAAACTTGGTGGTATAAAAGACAAATCAGACTCCTGAAAAGCAGTAGTCTGAAAAGATTGGGAACTACTGCTCTGTACCAAACCCTGAATCTTGTCTGATTCTACTTAATGTTGGACACTGACTGGGTTATATTAATACCTTTCACCCTTTGGGATCTTTTATTCTCTCGAAATGAATACAATAATGCACATACTCTGCCTGTTCCAGAATTGTGCTACGTATCAGCTCACAATAGCCAACTGTAGAAAGGAGGCCAGTGATGGCATATGGCTACTGAATTCAGATTTATGCCCACCAGTCACCACAAATACTTGAACAGAAATAACACAGGAATCATTATTTCCAAGGCTGCATTAGGCCACAGAAATGAGGCAGAGCTGCCTTGTGCCTTTTCTGTGGGTTGAGGTATATCTTCTTCCCCCACAACCTCTTCATAGTCCTATGAATTTCATTCAGTGTTATTAATCCCCTCTTTTTTTCCTCAAACTGACTAGATGTCTTCAGTGACTGGCCACAACACAATGGACCTGACTTGCACTGTGCTGCAAAAGAACCTCAAAATTGCATTGGCAGATTCAGGAAGTTTGGGAGAACTGATCTAGCAAAACACCTTAATGACAGTCTTCATAGTAATCTGAATGTAAGAGTTCCTTGGTGTTCACTGATGTGTGTACATTAGAACAGTATCATCTGCAATATGCCTTTCCCATTATTTAGGCATTTGCACTTTTTTGCTCTCTGTACTGTACTGATTTTCATTCTCCTGCCTCCAACTAAGAATATCCATGCTAAGTAAACATTAAAAATCATCCGCAATTCACATAGCAGATTTAGATTCTTCCAACCTGCTGTTCATTATCCTTAAAAATGCTACTATATATTTAGATAGTTTTGCTTTTTCATTTTAAACCAAAATGTAAGTAACAGAGTTCCTTTTAAGCACATAAGTGGCACAGGTGTCTAAGCGCAATTTTCAAAAGTGACTTAGACACATTGGAAGTAAGCATTTGTGCACACATAAAATGCTACAGTGACTGTCGCATTTCAGCCACTATGCCAAATGGGAGGGATTCTACCATTGGCTTAAGTAATTCACAGCAGCCCTGGGAGTTGGGAGCCAGGTTAGCAGAATAAATCTGTATACTTCAGAGGTTATGTTAGTATAGCTACTTCTCTCAGGATTTTGGGTTTTTCATACCCCTGAAAGATGTAGTTACACCAATGTAAATTGCTAATGCAGATCAGGCCTATCTTACTGACTTTCAATGAGAATTAGAGTCCTACAAACCACATTTTAAAATGTATTTATATGTCTAAAGATGGAGTTAGGTCCCTAGTGGAATTTTTAAAAAGCAGCTAGACTTTAAAATCCTACTTATATGTATCATTAGGTGCTCACATATCTTTGAATATCTGTCCCTCAGTCACTTTTGAAAATGTGATTATGATTCCTAAGTTACTGAGGTGGTTTTAAAATTTTTACACATTATCCTTGTTAAGGAATCTTTATTTTTTAAATTAGATCAGTTTCTTAAACGAATCAACTATTGTGAGTTGTCATTTTTCCTGAACTCAGTGGTGTAGCAGATTCCTTCATACTTGTTTAACTGATGTTTTGATTTTAAACTATCTTTCTCACTTATACGAGTTTTACACTGTGATTTTTCTATTGGCTTCAATAGAATGCTGATTTGCACCTCTGTGAGCAGATAGCCAAGCCTGAGTCACAGTGCCTGTCACTAAATATAAAGCAGCTCTTCTTACCTTACAGTGTTTCATACACATAATGGGGAGGGGGGCACTATCTACTCACTCCTTATTTACTATACTACCATAGTGTCTCCTCTTCTGGGAATGGGATTATACTATTATTATATTGAGCAGTAAGTGCAGTTTTTTCAGCACCCAATGCAAATGATAATAATAGTTTGAATCTGTCACAGGTGACACATTCTTCACCCACTCCAGCTCCCTTTCCTCAATTGTAATCCAGTATATATGCTTGAAAGATACATGATTTATAAAGACCAAAAACTTTCTTTACATACCTTCGATGTGAAGCATAATTCCCAGTAATGTGCCCAGAGCCATCACAGCCAGGAGTGGGACACCTAAAATAAATTAAAAGAACAAAAATGAAGCAGAGTAATTTACTTGGAAGAAATAGAACTCATATATTAACTACCCAGCCAAAAACTCCCTGCTTAGGATGTCATTTCCACATATGCTAATTAGGAGACCCCTGAGGACTTCTTTAGTTCTGTCTCCTCAGAGTTTAACCCCAAAGCAGTGCGGAAATGCTCTCTTTACTCGCAAGCAGAAAGCTGTTTGCTTTCAGGTCAGTCACCTCCCCACTCAGACAGCATCTGGCCAACACTGGCATTAGTAGGTGAGCAAGGGATGTCCACAGCTAATTAGCAGCAGCCAGATGTCACTTCTCCACAGCCGCTGAATACTGAAACCGGTCAGGCCTAAACTCTATGTCCATGTACTAAAATAAGGTGGATAACTTTACGTGTCGGGCATCCTGCTACCAAGTATGGCTATGGCTTTAGCCCGCTGCATGGAGTCTCATACAACCTGATCTCCTTTTACCAGAGGAAAAGCCTCTGAGAAAGGCCAGTAATGCAGGCAGAGGCAAAAAGGAATACTGCCCTCTTGTGGTCCTATTGCAACATAACTAACAAGCAAACTGGACAGAAGAGCCATTAATGAGTAATCATATCCTGTAGAATTTCTTATTATTTTACCTCATTTTAATAAATAAAGAAAAAAGAGAAGGCAGGCATGCATATTACAGAATAAATTATATTAGAATTATTAATTAAAATATACAGTATTGGAACTTCTGAACTTGATCTAATAATAACTAAGATGTACAGGTTGGACCTCTCTAGTCCAGCATGCTCTGGTCCAGCTACATCCATGCGCCAATATTATTTTAGTTAGCCAGATGTTCACTTATCATGGTTGTGGCAAAACTTCCCATGGTCCCATAAAGTTGGTTTACAGCCACCAATGCTCTTAGTGCTCTGTGCTTTTATTTAGCTTTAATGTATCTAAGGGCATATCTAAACCACATCCCTCTTTTGAAAGAGGGATGTAAATTAGACTTATCAAAATTGCAAATGAAGCCGGGATTTGAATTTCCCGTGCTTCATTTGCATAATGGCAGCCGTGCACGCTTTCAAAAAAGGGCTTTTTGAAAGTGAAACCGCCATCTAGACAGGGTTCTTTAAAAAAAAAAAAAAAAACTTTTTTTGAAAGATCCTGTACTCCTCATTTTTTTGTGGGTTTTTCTTCAAAAGAACCGTGGAAGGATTTCCTTTCTGATGGACTTTAAGGACCTATTTACATGGGAATTGGAACTGAAATCATTAAGCCCTGGTCTACATTAGGGAGTTATTTTGAAATAACACCCTTTATTTAGAAATAACAAGTAGAGCATCCACACTACCAAGCACGTTATTTCAAAATAAGGGGCTGGTTATTTTGAAATAACTCCTGCCTTTCACTAGGAATGATGCTTATTTCGAAATAGTTATTTTGAAATAGCAGTAGGGTTGCCAGGTGTCCAGTTTTCACCCAGACAGTCCGGTATTTGCGGGCTCTGTCTGGTAAAAAAAAAACCCAGGAAATACCGGACATGTGTCTCCTGTTCCCCTGGGATGGAAGCCCGGCAGTAACAATTTTCCCCTGCCACATCTGGCAGGGGCTGGGGACTGAGGAGCCCGGCAGAGTCTAATGAAGGGGGGGAACAGGAGAGGGCACGTGCCAGGTGCCACACTAAGGGGGCACTGGGCTGGGCTGGGAGCGGAGCGCGTCCTGCTCTGGACCACGTGACCAGCAGAGACCAGGAGCTGGCCATGTGATGCCTCCCTCTCTCTACAATACGAGCCAAGGCAGCCGGGCCAGGCGGCAGGAGCAGCCACTTTACAAGTCAGACTGTTCCTCTGTGCCTGGCTTTGCAGAGGGGGAAGGCGGAGATTTGATTGGGGCAGAGGCTCCCGATGCTGGGGATGCCTTGGGATGGGAGGACGTAAGGGGGGCCTGGCTCATGGAGAGGGGTAGGTGCATTGCCGGTTAGTGTGTGCTCCCAAACTGGAGGGAGTGGTGCAATTTTTGCTTAACAACTTTGGCACCCCCCCCTTTTTTTTTTGCTTTTGCTTTTGCTTACCAACTTTGGTCTCCTCCTTTTTCACCTGCTCTGACAGAATTTTTTCCTGTGGGGTTTGGTTTTTTGGGGGGGAGGGGAGCTGGTTGCTTTTTTTTGGCAGGGGGGGGTGTTCAGTATTTTTTGTTAAACCATCTGGCAACCTTAAATAGCGGTACTGTGGATGCTCCACTGCTGCTATTTCAAAATAACAACTCCCCAGAGTCATTCAAAGTAATTTCTCCCCAGTGCTTCCTGGGGCTCAAAGTCGAGGTAGTGCACCCACATTAAGGGAGCCTGCCTCGGACTAATTTCAAGTCTTCCTTGTAGTGTGGATATGCTATTTTGAAATAGTTATTTCAGGAGTTATTATTTCAAAATAAATTATTTTGAAATAATTTTTTAGTGTACACATGCCCTCAAGGAGTTATAAATCACACTTTTAATTATTTTGATGCAAACCTTTGTAGAAACTAGAGTTTTAGATTAAACTCTGTGTCCAATTTCAATATATTGTGTTTGAATTAGTTAAAAATCATTTACATTAATAAAAAATCAACATTCACAGAATAGGGTGGTCTTTTCTTGAAACAAGTGTCCACCCACAGACTTGTAACAAAATAATTAACAAAGGATAGTCCACACAGCAACATTATTTCAAAATAACTAGTATTCTTGCAAAATAACTTAGTCCATGTCTACACAGCAGGCAGTTATTTTCATAATAATGTCAAAATATTGTCAAGCTGGAGGACTTCTTACTTCGACTCTTGTAACCCTCATTGTACGAGAAGTAAGGGAAGTCAGAGGAAGAGTGTTCTGTTTCAAAATAAGTGTTGTATAGATGCTCCCCATTTTGAAATAAGTTATTTCAAAATAAGCTATGCAATTGACGTAGTTCAACTTGCGTAGCTTATTTCAAGTTAAGTCCTGCTGCGTAGAGTGAATTACAACTACTTTTGTTGCTTTGGTTTCAGTTACTATTCAGGGAACATAAGAACACAAGAAGATAAGAATGGCCATACTGAGTCAGACCAAAGGTCCATCCAGCCCAGTACCCTGTCTGCCGACAGTGGCCAATGCCAGGTGTCCCAGAGGGAGTGAATTGAACAGGTAATGGTCAAGCACTCTCTCTCCTGCCATCCATCTCCACCCTCTGACAAACAGAATCTAGTGACACCATTCCTTACCCATACTGGCTAATAGGCATTAATGGACTTAACCTCCATGAATTTATCTAGTTCTCTTTTAAACCCTGTTATAGTCCTAGCCTTCGCAACCTCCTCAGGCAAGGAGTTCCACAGATTGACTATGTGCTGTGTGAAGAAAAACTTCCTTTTTTTTAAACATGCTGCCCATTAATTTCATTTGGTGGACACTAGTTCTTATATTATGAGAACAGGTAAATAACTTTTCCTTATTCACTTTCTCCACACCACTCATGATTTTCTATACCTCTATCATATCCCCCTTAGTCTCTTTTCCAAGCTGAAAAGTCCTAGTCTCTTTAATCTCTCCTCATATGGGACCCATTCCAAACCCCTAATCATTTTAGTTGCCCTTCTCTGAACCTTTTCTAATGCCAGTATATCTGTTTTCTGATGAGGAGACCACATCTGTATGCAGTATTCAAGATGTGGGCGTACCATGGATTTATATAAGGACAATAAGATATTCTCCTGTCAGCAGACAGGATCCTGTGTTTTCTGATTCTTTAATAAATAGAAGCATTCCGCATAATAAACACATGTATATTTTAGATATATTATTAAAACACATAATATTCTGAAAAACTATAATTAAGACATCCTTATTTTAACCATGAAGCAATTTCATATAACTAGAAACACTATTTGGCATGCTACTATATTTTTTAACACTACTGTATTAATGGAAAAAAATGAATACAAAGCAAACATGTTAATACATTAAAATGAAACTTTTCCCCCTTAATAAATAAGGGGAAGAGAATGAATCTGTTCAAATTGATTCATCCTGCTACAGATGTTCTTTACGTAATGAGTGATTTCAGAAACTATTAATATTTATCTTTAAAAGTAGCTGAAAATTAACCAGTTGAGACTCTGGCCTGGTTTACACAACATAAAGCATATATCAACCTAATTATGTCAGCCTTGTCCCACTGATGTAAATGCCCTATTACCTGGACATCATAACTCCACAAGAGGCATAGAGCTTATGTTGATATAGTTAAGGCAATGCAGTGTCTATGCTTCATGGGCAAGGGGAGGCTCAAACCCACAATCCCACACTCCAGAGACTGTGTTACTTAGATTGACTTTGGACTAGGGCCTTGAAACTGACAAGAAAGCAGGGTCTCCTGACTCCCTACTTCCCACTCATGGAGCTGAAAAGCTCAGGCATCTGACTCTTGCTCCTTGTGGGAAATGGGAGGTGAAAACTTGAGATAGCTGCCCTCTATACCTGGCTGGGATTAGGGGGGGCAAGAGCCTGGAGGCAGCAGGGCTCCTGGCATGTAGCCATGCAGAATTGAAGGCTCTGGCTTATTAAGATTTAATATGTGATATTTTATAGGTTTATCGCACTCAAGTAAGTTTCTTAAATCCAGGACAACTTTGGGGTGACAGAAAAGCAATATATCACTCAGACAGTCACTGCTCAGTTGCTGTGTTCAAAGCTGGAAATGCTAACAGGTGCTCCTTAAGCTTGGGCAAACACTGGGTATAGCATAATAATTGGTTTCTGCAGAAGAATTCTACATAGGAAGTCACTATCTATTTTATATGCTATTGCAGTTGGCACTATTGGGCTACGTCTACACTGGCCCCTCTTCCGGAAGGGGCATGTAAATTTCACGAGTCGTCGTAGGGAAATCCGCGGGGGATTTAAATATCCCCAGCGGAATTTAAATAAAAATGTCCGCCGCTTTTTTCCGGCTTTTAAAAAAGCCGGAAAAGAGCGTCTAGACTGGCCCCG